AAAAAAAAAGAGTCCAAAAAAATAAAAATACTGGGGGGTGCGCAGTGGGAGCCTGCACCCGGTGGCCTCCCCCTGCAAAACCCCATTTTAACCCCTCCTCGGACCCACCCGGGGCCACATCCACCCCTGGTGAGATCGGGGTGGCCCTCAGTGCGGGGCCGGGGGCGGGGCCGACAGGGGGCTTGGGTGGGGATGGCTGCGGGCGGGGATGGGGTTGCGGGGCCGGAGGCGGGGGTGAGGGTGGGCGCGGGTGCAATCAGACTCTCGCTTTCATTCACACTTTTCATGCATGTACAGTAGCGCAGCAAACTGGCGACATGCGCCCACACAAAACTCGGAGATATGGCATCCAGATACGAGTTCACTTCCAATTGGCTATGGCGACTCAGCGCCCAAACAACTCACTGTTCACATACACCGGATCACCCTGGATATCCCACACGCGACTCTCGGAACACACACACACACACACACTAACTACACACTAACTCTAGCTATGGCGGCTATGGCCGCAACTACCCTATCGCTATGCTACGCTCCTCTCTCGCCCACTTCTACTCCGGGCTCACTGCAGACCTCCTTGCACAAGTCGCTGTGGCAGCGCTTCCGCATGGCTCACGCAGGAATGAAATAAATGGTTGGGCGCTGCATGAAGACCTACAGGAGTATACTGATTCGCTGAATAAAGCCCTGTCCAGAACCGGGGAACCGTCTCGACGTAACGATGTGATGAGCCATGAGACCGATGGGGCGGAGGATGGCGAGCCCTATGGTACGGTTGCGGGAAAGTGAAACTCGGGAGCATCCGCTCTCTAAGGAGGGCAGTAACCAGGATTCGGAAACTGAAATGCAGTGCGAATGCCACAATGACTGCACTTTTAGATCAAGTTCACATCCTCATCATTTTGTTGGCCTGCCTACGGGGTGAAATTGCATGGGGAAGGGCATACCTGGGTTTTTGGTTGCGTATGTCCTCCCGGGAATGGGAAATGATGCTGTGTGGTAGGAGTTGCGTGTATGCCCTTATGTCCTTAGATCACAAGTTGGTCTACATCGGGAAAACCACCCGTACACTGAAAGAGAGATGGGAAGAGCACCGTCGCGCCGTTAGAGGCGTGAGCAAGCAGCAAGTGCGTGTGTGGCTGCGGAAGATAGGAATTGAGCATTATGTCTCGGTGCCTATCTGGCTCGATTTTGTGAAAGAGGGTCCTTAAGCGTCACCCTTGCCCGCTGCAATCGCCACAAGATCTCGTCGGTTCGTCATGGGCAGTGTGCCTTTTGTTTTGTGAAGTGCTCGGCTCTTCTGGATCTGGAACCGGGAAACACCGCCATTGAGGGGATGGAGAAGAAGATCATTAGTAGCCATAACCCAGGGTTGAATATGAAAGGGAAGAAGGCTAAAAAGAAGCCACGAAGATGTCGGGGTGGCAAGAAGAAGGGGGTGGATAGATCACCGCCCGTCATCATCGTTGATGAGCCACTATTTTTCGATTGCCCTGGTATTGACGTCCGGCAAGAGCCTGATTTACTCCGGATTCTGAAAATGCTGGCTAAGCAGAGAGGGAAGGGGGAAGTGCTGATTAGCAACAACTGTGGGTGCCGCTGGTTGAAAGCATGGAGGTTAGTTGTGCTGCTATTTGGGTTCACAAAAATTCAGATGCACGGCAAGAAGCTCTTGCTAAAGGATGCTAGAATCGCAATTGAAGGGGGAGGATGTTGGTCTATTGTAGGGCTGCTCCAAACCAGGACAAAAACTGAGCTTGTAAAAGCTGAGTTGATTGCGCTGTTGAGAGCACCTTGGAAACGCAGGGACTTGTTCTCACGTACGTTGGATGAATTGATTGAATTAAATAATGGTGTTAAGACTATCAACCAGCGAAGGGGTCGGTAGATCGTGCGTGGGATATTGACTAACGTTTTTAAAAAGAGGTTCGGTATTAACCCAAGGCTGAATGTGGTCATAAAAATTTCGTTTTGCACTACCATCGACAAATGCAATGTTGAGCGTGTGGTTAAGTCTTGGATTGTAAACAAGGTCCGTCCGGTATCGTTGGCTCACCTGTATGCAAGGAGAACGCGAGCAGTCTGGCTCAAAGCTCGGACTGTCGGAGACATCCTGCATAACCAGAAATCATTTTCACAGATGGAGTCTTTTGACTGCACCTGTGCTGGATTCAACTTGCCTATGTTGAATGGGCATGTAGCGGTGAAGCTCAGCGAGATCGAAGGGATACACCCTTTTTTTGTTTAATGCAAAAAATGTGCCCTTTCCCGGTACTCTTACAACCAAGGACGCTCTGAGTAAAGTTTGCAATCTATCGGTGGATAGCCTGAGAAAGACCCATGCTATCGTTGAGTGCATCAGGATAGACTGGCGGGATGTATGTAGGCCAGGGGTACGGAATGCCGTTGGGTGCATAAAAAGTGAGTATGTGAACGGGGTAGCACAAGCCTTCGAGGGACTGGTCATGTCGCCACTGGATCGCAATACTAGTGAGACATGGCTAGAGTGCCCCAAGTTGTATGAAGCTGGCCTTAGAATGATGTTCCTGGATAATGAGAACTATGAGAGGGTAGCAAAACCAAAGTCTGTTGTCCTCAGGGATATGAAAGAGAAGTTTGACGAAAGCCGCCTTGGTGACATGGCTAGATGGGACAGGGAGGGTGAGCTCCAACACGCATATATCCTTGCTAAAGAGAAGGATAAAAGGAAGAGGCGACCTATAGTTCCGTCATTTGCGAGTCCCTTCAGGTCTGCCTCTGGTCTGCTGTCTACCGTGCTAAATACGTTGATTAGAAATGTGTCTGTCCCGCACTTCAATCTTCATGCAATGTGTGATCTGAAGGATGAGATCAGCAAAATTAACCAGTATGGTCGTACCACTGGGACTGCTGACCTTAGTTTCGTGGCACGAACGTATGACATCAAAGAGATGTTTACGCAATTACCGCATTGTGAAATCATCAAGGCGGTTCAATGGGTGGTGGAAGTGTTCCATCAGAAGGGTATCCGAAGGATCAGAGTGAACATGAGGAAGAAAGTGGCTTGCTTTGGTGAAGCACACGGTGAAGCAGGCTGGAAGACAGTTAGACTTAGTAAGCTTGGGTTGCTTACTGATTTTCAGCTAGAGAACACTTACTTTTTGGTCTCAAATACTGTCCTACGGCAAAAGAAGGGCATTCCAATGGGGGGAAGGGCAAGTCCTTCGCTTGCATGCATCATGTGCATGATGGCTGAGCACCAGTTCCTGTGGTCCCTAGGGACTGATAGTAAGTTCATCACGGGCAAAAGGTATATCGACGACCTGTTGGTCGTGTCGTTCTTCCGGTTGACTGACCAGACGGGACGCAGTAATGCCGAGAAACGCCTCGATTTGGTGACAAACTGCTATCCGGACGGGCTGGTATTGGAGAGAACGGATCCTGGAAATGGGATCCTAGATTTTCTGGAAACACGACTGGTGGTGAGTGGCGACACAACGGCCATACTGATGTCCCACAAATTCAAGAATGTGGACACGATTTGGGAGGAGGGTCCACTGAGATTCCAGACCTTCAAGAATTTCTCATCTTTTGGCCCGCGTATGGCTAAATTTGCTACTGTTGCCAACACCATCCAGCGAATTGCGAATAACTCCAACGACTCAGGCCTGACGTGCCTGAATGTCCTCAGCCTGGTTGAGGAACTCTGGAAACTGGACTACCCTGGAAAAGTAGTCACAACTGGGCTGCGATGGATGGAGAAAAGGGATGAACCACTTTTTTGGGGCAAAATGACGGAAGTGGTAGAGCAATGGCTCTTTGAAGAATGATACTCACCTAGGATACTGGGCGCTGCTATTTGAGGAGGCGTCCGGACACCAGGGCGCGATATCGGGCCAAGATCTTCGGAGGACAAACTCTGATAAGCAGCATGGATATGTGATCTGGGTTAAACCCTTTTTTAACATTGTAGTCTGCGAAATAAGACGTAGTGAGACGACGGCGGTTTTATACAGCTGGGCTTCGTTTGAAAACGTGGCGAGTACGGTGTCCAGGTACAGTCTACTCAGTAGACCTATACAGCTGGGTCGCGTCGAAGGCATAACCCAGACACGGTAAGTAAGGTGAGTAAATGAATTCCGGCCGAGATACAGGCTCGGTGCAGATACGCCTGCGGATACAACACTGGTGAGGTGTACTGTGGGTTCCCGCCTTGGAGCTGGTTAGGCGCGCGGGAGGCAGCCTGCAGTAATATTATTATTATTATTATTATTTTTCCAATGATGAACTTCGGCTGATATGAAGGCCCGGTTCAGATAGGCTTGCTGGTACGCAGTGCCTGTATGAGTGTACGGTGGTTCCCGCTTCTACAAGGACAGAGTATGGCCTACAACAGTAAGTATATAAGAATAGAATACGAAGACATCAGCCTCAATCTGAGTGGCGTATGAGTTAGAAGGATTGAGTATCCTTGACGTAGTAGTGTCAAGGAATGTGGGGAAGGAGGTGATGGCGCCATGATATGTTACACTCATGTCATCTTCTTCTTGTTATTGTCCATCTTTATTCTAATTTATTTGTTAAATGGCTGGGCGCTGCCTCTTGATTTATACTTCCGAAACTCGATGGTCTGCCCTTTGCCATCGGCCCATGGTGCTCACAGTCCCTTGTGGTACTTGCTGAACCGGACTGGGACTGACTGGACCTTACCACTGATTGAGTGGGGACTCACTGCTAACCTACCGAGGTTGTACTGCAATTGCACTGCAGTTTAGTCCACCACTTGACTCACCACTTGCCCAGTTGCCCACTTGCTGACTTTCTAGAAGGACTACAGCTAAGACTTCTGGAACTCGCTAAGACTTCTATTTTTACCGGTCTACAGATCGAATCCCTGCTACCTATGGACCTATGACAGCCTACCAACTGTTTACGAATACACAGGTCATAGGTTAAACTCTCGGGGTCTACACAGGTAGTGTACACAGGTAGGGAAAGGTCTAGGGATCGAATTCTGGGATTTGCGTCTGCTACTGCGAAGAGGTGAAAACCGTTTCACTCCCCCCGTCCTAAATTCGAGGTCCTCCGAGAATATTTCAGTCCAAGGCAGGACCTTTACCCTTCTTATCACACTCAAAGGCTCTGACTATGTCGGGAGCTGTTTCTAGAAGTTATGTCCTAGTAAACCAGCGATCGTCTTCCGGTTTCTGATAAGCAAACCGGACCTTATACTGTTTCTGTGGACGACCTCTACCACCTGTCCTGAATACATCTTCATCTACAATGTCGTCAATGTCATATCTTCCATCCATATCCGGCGGGATCATGGATCTTCTTGAAGGGAATTGTTGACTTGTGACACACGGCAACAACTTTGAGGCATGGAATACAGGGTAAGTGTGGAGGTGTGCTGGAATCTCTATTGTGTAGGACGGCCCATCCTCTCCGCCATTGACTTCTAGAACCGGCCACGGTCCTCTATATGCAGGTAGTAACTTCTGTGAGATGTGCTCCTCAGTTGCAAACTCCTTAGACTTGACACAGACTAAGTCGCCTACCTGAAACTGCGAGGGGCGACGGTGCTTATTAGCTTGTTCTATCATTATGTGCTGGGCTTTCCCGAGGTTTTCAACCACGATAGCTAATTCTTTCTCGTGCTGTATCGCAAATTCCCTGGTACCGGGCGGTAGCCTGTGAATCTGATCTCGGTTCAGTCCTTCAAATGGTCTACGGTCTAAAGGACTTGTGCAGCTCATTGGGAATGCGACAGGTGGACAGATGCACGTTGTTATTGTATACGCTAGCTACCTTAGGCAACATCTCGTCCCAGTTGATCTGGTGGGGTCTAATGTACATGCACAAAACTTGTTGTAGGATCTTGTTCATTTGCTCGGTCTGACCGTTGGTCTCAGCGTGGCAGCCAGACGACATCAACAACTTAGATTCGTAAACTCCCATGAGTTCTTGCCATTTCTGGCTGGTGAAGCGACTATCTCTATCGCTAACTATTGACAACGGGACCCCATTCTCACTAACCCAAAAATCGAAGAACTTTCCTACAACTAGATATGTACGTGCCTCTGCAGGCAAGGGAACAAAAACAACATACTTGCTAAATCGGTCAACTATGACCATGACTTGGCTCTGGCCGTGTCTACTCTTGACACCGGCATCCATAAAATCAATGGAGACTGAGTCTCCCGGCTGGTTTGGAATAGGCAAGGGTCTGAGAAGACCTAGAGGGGCACGCGTAGTGGTCTTGTTTCGTTGGCAAACTTTGCAACTGCGAACGTACTCTATGCAGTCAGCTTTCATTCCTGGCCAGGTATGCGCACGCATCAGATTGGCTAAAGTCTTTTGCCAACCGAAGTGTCCCTCTGTATCATGGCATTCCCCTAGGATTAGACTACGGATCTCCTCACTGTTGGGGATGCACAGGCGGTCTACTACATTAGTCTTCTCAAACAATAATCCCTCAGTAGTGCGGTAGTCTGGTTCGGTCTTTGGGGCCTCCTTAACTCTCTTAAGGAGGTCACTATAGGTAGGGTCCTGCGCATACGCTTGTCGGACTTTCTCTTGCAGGTCCTTTCCTATGTCCAGATAGTGCACTATAGCTCCAAAGTAGTCCGATCTCCTACTTAGAGCATCCGCAACTACATTATACTTGCCTTTGACCTGTTTGAGCTCAAAGTCATACTGGTCTATTTCAGCGGCCCACCTAGTTAACTTAGGTGTCATTTTGGCCTGGGTCTTTAACCATCTAAGTGTCTCATGGTCAGAATATACTTTGAAGTGCCTCCCAAGCAGGTAATGCTTCCATTGCTCTAAGGCCTGCCTGAGAGCGTAGAGTTCTCTCTCATATGTCGAGGTGGCTACTTTCTCTGAAGGCATCCTCACTGACATGAACTCTACGGGTCTGTAGCCATTGCTGTCATCTTGCGGCAACACGGCGCCTATACCATACTGGCTCGCGTCCGTGGTGACGACAAATGGCAAAGACGGATGAGCTACTTTGAGGACAGGGTATTCTATTAACGCGCGCTTCAGTCTCTTTAGCGCAGACGTACAATCTTTGTCTCATTGCCAGATTGCCTCTTTCTTAAGCAACATGCGCAAGGGAGCGGCAATAGTAGAGAAGTTCCTCACGAACTTTCTATAGTAGTTAGCTAGGCCTAGGAACGACCGCAACTCTGTCAACGTGCGGGGCGTCGGCTAGTCTCTAATTGCCGCTATCTTGCTGTCCTCTGGCTTAATGCCATCTCCGTCTAACACGTGGCCCAAGTACAAAACCTGTGTCTTGGCCCACTCGCACTTCTTCGCATTAATCTTGAAGTTAGCTTCTCTCAGATTCTCCAAGACTTGCCTCAAATGACCCTGATGCTCTTGGAGAGTCCTACTGAAAACTAATATATCATCTAGATAAACTACTACAAACTTATCTAACCACGGTATGAACAGATCATTCATACAATGCTGAAAGGTGGTTGGCGCGTTGGTTAGTCCAAAGGGCATCACTATGAACTCATAATGCCCATATTTAGTCCGGAACGCAGTCTTGTACTGGTCATCAGGATGGACTTCTATTTGATGGTATCCGGACTTCAAATCTATCTTAGAAAAATACTTGCAACCCTGCACCCAATCTAGAAGATCGTCTATCCTGGGCAGCGGCTCAGTATTCTTCACAGTAATCGCATTCAAACCCCTATAGTCTATACGTATACGAAGCTCTCCTTCCTTTTTGGGGACAAACAAAACTGGTGCTCCAAAAGGAGACGAACTGGGTCTGATCCAACCTTTTTCGAGGAGCTCGTCTAACTGCTTGCGTAGCTCCTCTAACTCTCTAGGGGACATTCTGTAGATTGCTCCCTTAGGAGTCCTACTGCCAGGCTCTATCTCTATCCTGTGCTAGATGGGTCGCGACACTACTCCTGTCGGCGACTCAGTCAAATCTTTGAATTCCTCCAGCAGCTTGGCAATGGTTGGGTCTGCGGAGCTATCTCCTTCCTTAGCCTCAGTGACAGGCCTCACATACACTACGAAGACCTAGTCCTCGAATTGCTCCTTTTTCACTAGTCGCGCGAACGCGGGAGCACTGAGACAGCAATGTGCCAGAGTGTTGTCTACACCTGACACATGAAACAGGCGGGCAATCTTAACCTCGCCTGACGGACTAGGGAGCCTACACTCATGCTCTCTCAAATGGAGTGTGGCTCCTGCTGCCTCTCCCCAATCCATTCCTAACACTATGTCGAAAGGAAGGTCATCCTGTGCGAGGAGAGTCAGGGAATGGAGAACTTTCTCCACCTTCCCATGCTTCTCTAGGCGAAAGTACGCTTGGACTCCCTCTACGTAGTCCTCAACTCGCATCGTGCGGTTGTCTGCAAGGACACTGACTATGGGGTCTGCCAACTTTTGGACTCTTAATCCTAGCCTCAGCTTCTTCAGCGCCCTACGGCTAATGTAACTGCGGGTGGCCCCTGTGTCTATAAGGGCCCCGACTCTGCTTCTAAACACTTCTACATCTACCAAGATCAGCTGTCCCTTACTCTCCTTCTTCATTTTGGCCCAGGCTGGCATTCTCTCCTTCAACTCTTCTGCCACACCTGTGAGGGACGTGCCTAGAGAGACGCTGACACAAGCAGCCTCTGGACAACTAGCTAGGCACGGGCCTGCAACCTCTGCCATAGGCTCATGTGGGTTGGGAGTTTCCTATGTGCGCGCGCTCGCTTCCCCACATGGCCTTGAAGTAGGGGCAGTTGCGACCCCTACTGGCGGCTGCCTTTTGACTGTTGAGCAGCCCAACGGGCCTATCTGTACTGAGGACAAAATTTGATTACGTGGGCCGGGTCACCACAAAACACGCAGTGACCCAAGTTCACGCGTTCTTGCCATACTCGTTGGTCCAAGCCCAAGTCTTTCCAGGGCCTGCCCTGTGGCAAGTCTGGGTGCCATCCTCCTTGAGGTGACCTTCCACCTCGTCGCTGTGGGGACCGACAAGAACCCTGGCGATTTGGCGGGGGACCTTGACCCCTACCTCCCACTTGGCAGTTCCCTTGTCCGCCAACCCCCTGTGTGCCTGGTCCTCGGCCTCCCATGGCCTGGCCCCTTTGGCCCTGGCCTCCTCCTCTACTTTGCGGCCTCCCTCCAGCCGCGACAGCAGCATAGGACCTCCCCTGCCCCACGCTACTGTCCTCCTCCTCAAGGCCCCATTCGATCTGACTATATGGGACCTCATCTGTACCACCCTCCTCTAAGGTAAGGATCATGTGATCCTTGGCCCTGACTTGGCTAGAGATGGTACGACCTTTCCACTTTTTGCCCTTGTCTAAGTCCTTATGCCAGAAGTGGAAACTGGCATGGACTTGGCCTCAAACAACACCACCTCTCTACTGACCGCATCGTACGTCATGGTGGGCTGTTGGGACTTGTCAAAGAAGTGCCCACGCAGGGGCTCTGGCATGGCACGATAAAATAGCTGGACCAACAGGGACTCAGTCACCCCATGGTCCGGGACGGCCACCAGGTCGTCCATCACTGCCTTGAGTGCCTTGGCACTCCTCCACTATCGTGAGTGGATGGTTTGGAGCTTGTCAGAGGCTCTAACGCCTCTGTGAAGATCAGCGAATCGCTCCCTAAGGAGCTTGAAGAATTGAGGGAGAGGGGTAACCTTGAAATAGGCGACCATGTTGTTTTCACAACCGGCCACGCGCGCGAGGGACCTAGCAAAACTAGTCGCTTCGTCCTTGAGGGCCTGGAAGGCAACGAGGACCTGATCGTCCTGTACGATGTGCTGTAAGTAAACGTAACTGTTTACGCTAACCTCCCAGTTATCGAAGTTCTCATCAGATTTCCCGCCATAGGCATCGGGAAACTTGAGTTTGACTGGTTCCTTGCGGGGTCTAACCTCGCTCTCAGCAGCGGCTACTACTTTGGCGCCCTCAATGGCACCCTCACAGAACTTCCCCACGTTGTCTCTCAACAGCCTGACTTCCCCTCCAACGTGGGTAACCATCTCGCGCACAAAATCCCGAAAACCGGACCGCATGGCCTTCAGTGCTACCTCTTGGCTCCTGTTGGCCCGACGCTCCTCCATCCAGGCCGCGCTCAACACCTCTACATATCCCAGCACCTTATCCATCTTGGCAGACATGTCTGTCTGCGCCTCCATTTCTTGTCTGCCATCCCTCAATTTTGCCACTTCTGCGGGCAATCTGTTAACTCCGTCCCTCCTCTTCTTCTCCCTCTTCATCCTTAACTTCCATTCCAACTTCTTCTCCTCCTCCCTTTCTTGCCTCTCCAGGGGGTCCTCAATTGCTGCCAGCTCACTGGCCAATGCATCCCTCTCATCTTGGGGCACATAAAACTCCGCCTCCTCATCTTCCCCCAATGATAAGTTAGCTATCCACCGCTAATCTTCTTCTCCATCTCTGCGTCTTCATCCTTCTTCGTGCCACTACTCTCCTCTCTGCTTTCAATACGTTTTCTCTTTTTTTCCTCTTCTGCTGCTGCTTCCTCTTCGGCAGCCTTTCTCCTCTCTTCCTCCTCCTGCTGAACTCTCTTCATCTCCTCCTCCAGTTTCTTCATCTTCGCCGCCTGCTCCTCTGCGATTGTCTTTAGCTTCGCCTGTTTCTGGAGCTCTTTCCTCTCCTTGTTTTCTCTCACTAAGGTGGCCATCTTCTCCTGTTGCTCCTGGGTATAGGGGTTAGTACTCGTCCCACTACGGGTCAAAAACCATGGTGGTCAGTGCACAAACGAATTGACGGTTCCAAACCTCACCACGTAGACTCTAGCCCCTGACTGAGAAACCTATTGACTCAATCTAAAGACTCACAGAATCCGGACAGGGATCCTGCCAACAAGGGTCGCTAGCCTAGACCTACACTATGGCTGTCACTACTAGACCTGTTGCTGATCAGGAGGCATTTAAGGAGATCCCCCGTAACTCCTCAGGAATTATTTAACGTCGCAGACAGGACGACGCGATCAGCAGGTCTCTCAACACTTAGACGGCCTGTTGTGCAGCCCACAGCTCGGATTTTGGGCCTACCGTGCCACGCCGAGCAGCCCGCCGGTCAGTACCGGTCCTTGGGAGAGTCGTCAGACACAGTCTTTATCCCTACTCAGCCCGTGTAGGTTTGGTCAACAAGGCCCTATCATCCACAGAGTACTATCGCCTAGACAGAAGAGACTCGATGCAGAAAGAAGAGACAGACAGACTGGACTCAGCAAGTACCACAGGGTGTGTGCACATCCATAGGGCGAGGGATAGGCTGAAGGCTTGGCGAAATTTTACCGGCTCCAGCTTGGTCAAAGTCTTGGTCAACGCCTTGGTCAACGCCGGTCAACGCCTCCGGTCAACTCTCCCGGTCAACCCTTCGGTCAGCTATGGCTGCCTGCTTCACCTTCCCTCACCAACCTCCCTCTTCTCTTCACCTTCCTTGCCTTCTTTCACCCTGCTGTCTTCTTT